ACCCAACCCAAAACCTTCGTTTTAGCGATAAATACGGATGGGTTGGATCGGATTAGACAGGTGGATCGATTTGCGGGTGTGTTTGTTCCCATAGCTAATATAATTCACCTTTATCGTTAATTAACCCTTTTTGTTCCCCATAAAGAAAGCGCTCGCATGCAACTTCAAAAGAGCTTCTTCCTTTCCTTTGTTAATCATAATATAAACTTCTCTATTGGCACAGGGGATATATTATTATTATTATTATTATTATTATTATTATTATTATTATTATTATTATTATTATTATTATGAAAAGGGTACGTATCTGTGAGGGGTCGATCGAGAACCCGGCAGTTGCACGCGACGTGTGGCTTTATTTTATTCCAATTTCCACATTCTCGATCAGTCTTTTTCATATAACATGGAGCTATATATATATATATTTTTATTCTAATTTACAAGGATAAGGACCATATGAATATATACATATAGTGACATTTCACATTTATGAATTATGAGGAGATATAATCAATTAATCATATTACGTCTAAATAAATATACTGGACATGTTCATTCATTGATTGCACTAGCTACATTTCAACTAATAATCTTCTCTATTGCTTTGGAAGTAACATACAGATAATAAAATATTTTTGTTAATTTATAACCAAAGAACCTTAGTAAAAAAAATATTTTGTCCAAAAATCTTACTACCTATTTTTGGTCCGGCTTTTAGAAGTGTTTTTCGGTTTCAAAAGCTAAAGCAGAGTCAAACACCTCTAAAAGCTCGGGTTTTGAAAAGCAAAAAAGCAATTTTGTATAACATAAAAGCAGAAGCTCCGATTTGAAACTTCCGTGAAAAGTTGTTTTGAAAATACAAGATTAATCTTACCGTATTTTAATTTTATTTCAAAAAAATATAATTTTATTTCATTTATATCATTTCAAAAATAAAATAAAATTTAAAATTATATTATTTAATAGAAAATAAATCTAACAAGATCCATTTTGACTATTTTTTATTGTTTAGAATTTTTATTCTTAGTTTATATTATAAGTCCTTTATACTCATTTATACAACCTCTTATATTAAAAAACACTTTTAATAATTTTTTCAGCCAACTCTACTGTTTTTGTTAAATACTTTTCTAAAAAGTAAAAACTCTAACCAGCATAAAAGAAAAAAATTTATATATTACATAAGAGAAAATGTGTTTCTCTGCCGTCACTAATTAGTAACGAAGAGATTACTGATTGGCCGACCATTGCAGCCAATGATGAAGTCAGAAGTTAAATTAGGTGTGTCCATTTTTATTTTTATGATATAAATTATTCCATTTGAGAATTTAGTTTTTTTTTCATAACAAATCAATATTATGGTAATCAAATAGCAAGAGGTGAGTTTTAGTGTAGTGGTAAAATACCCTTATTACGCTTTATGATGACGAGTCTAATCCCTTACATTAACAAACGTGAGGATTTATTATTTTTCTACTTAAACTTACTTATGTCTTGTGACAAAATCAAAGAATTTGGTTCCGCGTCTATGATTACAACAAACAAAACGACTAGTTATACTAAGTAGAACGATGTTACAAAAGATAGGTAAAATGAGGTGAAAGAGAGTGGGTTTAGTTGGCAAGCATGTGTTATTAGCCTGTCTCTGCCCCTGATGGTGATGATCAGCTTCAGTCGAGATCGAAAGTCAAATCCCAAACTTAGAAATAGATTTCACATTTCCGATACACACAACATCGCCAAATAGACTCTTAATTAATTAAGGAAACACAGACAATATTATTATAACCAGCTGGCCCCGGCCATTTGGCCGGAGGAAGGCGAGAAATGAATTTTGATAATGTAATGGGGTGGGGTCTATAGCTTATTGTTCTATAGTTTTTTTTTGGAAACACGTGATAAAAATCGTGAATTTTAGTAGGAAAGAGATATGAATGATGCAACGAATCAAAAATCAGCCTTATGAACCAAAATCAAGTACCTGTTACCTTGTGAAACAATATTTTTTCTGGTAATATGATGAGGTGGAGTAAGTTTTATAGATACCGAATTCCAGAAAATCGAATAAAAAATCGCATATCCCGCCGGTTTTCGGGAAATGAGCATCTCACAATCGTTGCTAGCTTTTACTCGGCCCATTGGCCGATTAATTTGCTTTATAAAACTTTTATCTTGTCATCATTGTGCTTTCTGGTTTTTTGCCAAGCCATGATAAAATCTAAAGAAATCAAGAATGAACAACACGATTTGGGATAGGAACCACCGTTCTTGTATCCCTCGAAAATGGTGGTAAACACAGACTCACCTGCCAAACTGATTTGGATTGAGATTTTTAGCGGGTATCAGGGAACCATGTGATTATAAATTAGACTTGATCAAAACGAGCCAAAACTTGAAATTCAGCCTGTTTGACCTACCCATGCCAAACTCTAATTATTCTTTACTTTTAAACTTTCTATTTGAAAATAAAAAATAATAAAAGAAAAGAGATGACTGCAATTCGCCATTTGCACATCACTGATTCAGGAATAAAACTATAGAATTTCGAAAGGAAACTGAAAAATGTTTAGGATCGTTTTAATGTTAAGAATAACCAAATAGATATTTCTATTTAGTTTTTTACTAACAAATACCAAACGAAACCCTATAATATACACTATAATTTAATCATTATGATATCAAATAATTACATAATATATATTTGAAATGATAAAAATTGGACTAATTGGGTTGGTCGAGGTTGAACCATTGAATAACTTTAAAATACATTATATTTTAGCCACTAAGATATAAAATAATAGCATAATATATATTATGCTAGAGAAAATAGTTTGTTTTAGAATAGCAAACCCATGATTTTCATTTGTTTTACTTGATGGGCAAATCCCGTGTAGGTCAGGCCCATTCAACTCTTTTATTTTATGATTAGCGGTTAGCCCATTAGAATCCATACATTAGTTTATTGTTAAATTTTTTATTTTTGGCAATAAAAAGGAGTATTGTTTTTGCCTTTTCATATATATTTTACCACCGCGGAGAAATAAAAGGACTTAAAGAAAAAAATTGACACTCCTGGACCCGTTTAAATCCGCATGTGTACGGTAAGTTGACCCGTTCCACAGAGGAAAAAGAAAAAAATTGACACTCCCTATTCTACCCTTCCTACAAATGCTCCTGGAGCAGGGAATTTGAAATGGGGGAAGAATTTTTTCCTCTCTGCGATTATATATTTTTAATTTAAAAAGATACAACAAATGTACTTAGTGTGATTGGTTATGATCTTTGCTTTTCTTTAAAGTGGTCATGGTTCGAATCCTAGTAAGTGTCTTTTTAATGAATAAAAAAAGTAATTGTGAAGACCAAAATGTCCTTCGTGTCTTTTTAATGAATAAAAAAAAGTAATTGTGAAGACCAAAATGTCATTCCTACTTTCACTATGGATGCAGGAAATTTGAAATGGGGGTTCAGGTTTTCTCATTTGACTTTTATTTATTGTGTAGATAAAGTCTTTTTTTAGTAAATTTTGCATTATAACAAGGAAAGTAATGCATGTAATTAATAGTATTGGATAAAATAAACACGTTTGAATTTCTTAAATGAGTTGGGTTTTATGATATTGCACTTGTAAGTTTAAAGATTCTAATAAATTTTAAAGTGCCAAAAATCTCAACTCTGGCGGAACTAGGCCGAAGCATGAAGGGCTATAGTCCCCTTAATTTTGAAGTATAGGTAAAAAATTAAGTGTAAAAATTATAACAAATTTAGAAAAAAATAGTCGATAAGATCTTAGTCTCCGTTTTGAATTATCACGGTTCAAATCAGTCAATTTCATTCAGATTTCTAAATCCGACACCAACTCTAAAGACAATAAAAACAATTTATAAATACGATAAGTTGAGGACTTGAGGTCCAGCCAAGCTACTATGGCTTGACAGACCAAATGCACATACATCATGAGCTACACATCTCAATCAAACTACAAGCAAAAAAATGGGAATTGGATTAGAATTAGGAGGTGGTCTAATTAAACCAGTCCAATCCAAATAATTATGTCATGCATGAAAGCTCCTTCCTGGCACTTTCAATCAGACGAGACCGGCAAAACACTTTATCATTAATTAAAAGATTACTATACATTAATCATCGAAAATAAAATAAATCTGTTAGGAAGAAAGAAATTAAAGCTTCAGTAAATAATAATGACGATGGATGGCTAAAGAGGGAAAAAGTAAATGGAAAAGAGCAAAAGATGCGCCACGTTGCTTGATGATGACGCGGAGCGGAGCCACAACGGCAAACACCGCCGCCGGCCACCGCAAAGCCACAACAAGATACGGCACCGTTTTATCATAGTTGTTGCCGTTTGGATCGCGGTGGCCTCTTCCCTGTTCCTGCGCGCCTTCACAGCTCCCACCACCATCTTCGCCATCCCACTACTCCACTCCCCACCTTAATTTACTCTCTCTCTCTCTCTCTCTCTTTGCTGTCATATATATACATAAAGATTCTTCCTTTCCTTCCTCCCTAGTCCCTTCCATCCATTTCCCAAGCACAACCATTTTAACATTAAACCGCGGTCAAACCCTCCCTCCCTCTCTCTGCAGCTTTCGTGAGCTTGGGGGAATTCGGTTCACTGTGATCGAGAAACTGCTCTCTGTTTCTCTGGGCCGCTTGATTCAGAGTCTGACTCAGCTCCCGTTTTAAATGCATCCAGGGCGTCGTTTTGGCATTCAAGGCTAGTCTAGTAGTAGTCCCCGACTTCGGTTTATCTCAACCCGACGACAAGGAATGAACTTTCAGATCATAAAGGTATATTTGTGTGTGCCTCTCTGTTTTCCACTCAATCCTCTGTTCTGCAACTGTGTATTCAATACTCTGCTTGAAAGAAAATTGTTCGTTTCTGGATTGTCAATGGTGTGTTTCATGAATTGGGTTTTGTTCTCCTTCAGATTTAAGGAACTGGGTGCTATCTTGCTGGGAGAAGGAAACAACAGACAAGGATGAGTAGCCGATCCAGTACAACTCGGCATTCCGCCATGAAAGCTCCAGCCAAGCTTGAAAAAGTAAGGAAACCCAGAGAAAAGAAATAATTAAGTCCCACTGGGTGGGTTTTTTGCTTCGTCGTAACAGATACGTTTTCCGTCTGTTACCACTGCCATTTTTGTTTAATCAATCAATTGTTTTTGAAAAACGGTTTCTACTGTACAGTATAGAGTCTCCCCTGCTTTTACTTGAATTTTTTTCTTCTCCCGAAGGTATTGGGATTTGTAAAACTCTCCCCCAATTGCCTTTTTCGCCTGCATCTCTCTGTTTTTTTTTTATCCATGGCTTCACTCCCAATGCCCAAGCAAACGCTCCTCCGAGATATCATGATGAAATTACGCCCTTTGTTCTTTTGCTCTTCTCAATAATAGAATCCAAAGTCTTGCTTCCTTCCTTGGTTCCCAAATCCAAATCTAGAGTGAAACAAATCGATCACCATTCCTATAGCGGGGGCGAAAAAATCACAATCCTCTGTTTCATCCCAATTACCACTTCTCGTCGAAGCTTATTGATTGACTTTCGTTCAATCCTGTTGTGATCGGGAATGCAGGGGAGCTATTCTATCAATGGAACTAACAGTTCAGCCAAATCCCGCAAAGCTTCCTCGAGCAGAGACAAGAAAATGGCTCTCCAGCAAGATGTACGGATATGGGTTCAGTTCGATTTTCTTCAATTTGATTGATTGTCTTAATTTCCTGATTACCCCACTTCCGAAATTCTCAAACTTTTTTACCAGGTTGATAAACTGAAGAAGAAGCTGAGATTCGAAGAGAATGTACACAGAGCTCTGGAGAGAGCATTCAATAGACCACTCGGAGCTCTGCCTCGCCTACCTCCTTATCTTCCCCCTGCCGTTAGTCTCCTTAAACTACCAATTTCGTCTTCTTCATCGATTCGTTCTTCTGTAAATCTGATCCCCGTGTTTTAGTTCTGTTGCAGACGCTGGAGCTTCTAGCAGAAGTTGCTGTCTTGGAAGAGGAAGTTGTACGATTAGAAGAACAAGTAGTACATTTCAGACAGGACTTGTACCAAGAAGCTGTCAACATTTCCAGTTCCAAGAGGAACCTAAGTTCTTCTGCAGATTCCTACCCTTCAGTCCCGCCTAAGATCGAGCAGCAGAAACAGCAGTTGAAAGAGAAGGAAATGGGTTGTTCTTCTTCCAATCCAGCAGAGAAAAAGGGGAGGGGTTCGTCATCTTCAGCTCGCAATGCTCACACCACGGTCCGAACACCAGTTAAAAGAAGTGCAATTGATCATAAACCGGAGAAGCGTCTCGATCCTCAGAAGTTAAAGGTATCAAATCAAGCTGGCTCACCAAGAATTCATCAGCATTTTTGGCGAATTTCTATTCGACTTAGAAGGGTTTTGTCTGAATTGTGTTTTTGCAGCTGGTGGATGACAATCCAAACAAGGTCTCGGAGGACATTGTGAAGTGCTTGTCAAGCATTTTCGCGAGGTTGAGCACGACGACGACGAGGAAGAACCACAACAGCAGTGAGAATGATCCTTACGGTATATGGGCAGATTGTGGAAGGAGAGATGTTGGTCAGTACAAGCATTTGTTTGCTATTGAAGCTGACACTATCAATCCCAACAGAACATCCAACTCTTTGTTTCTACTCCACAGACTGAAGTAAGTCTCATTTTGGAAATAATACCCTTCAAATTGGCTTCCTTTTTTCAGCGAGATTCTTATTTGACTTGATTTTTGTTCATCTTCTAAAGGCTTCTGCTTGGTAAGCTTGGTGCTGTGAAATTGGATAAGTTAACCCATCAGGAGAAACTTGCCTTCTGGATCAACATTTACAACTCCTGCATGATGAATGTATGGAAATGAAACCCTCTTCCCTTTGGTCCATTTCTTAAGTTTCTTTTACCTTAAATTTGCTTTAAATTTCCAATTTCTTGTTTCAGGCATTTCTGCAATATGGAATTCCAGAAAGCCCTGAGATGGTTGTTGAAGTAATGAGAGAGGTAATGCAATGAAGAGAGACCAAATAAGTAGTATTCATTAGTCACTTTCTTTCTGCAGCAGAACTAAATTCATAAGCCTGGTGGCATCATGTGACAATGCTATATTGAAAAATTGGGTTTCTGAAAGTTACTTGTTTCCCCTTTGCTGTTTATTTAGGCAACAATAAATGTTGGAGGGCACTCTCTAACTGCAATCACCATTGAGCACTTCATTCTCAGATTGCCTTACCACTCCAAATATGTAAGTACCTGGGTGATTGCACACAGCTCACAGTTCCTTACTTAGAAATTTACCACACCCTTGAAGAAACCATTCTTTCTTGATCATTCAGGCATTATCGAAGGGGTCGAAGAACGATGAGATGACAGCAAGGAGCAAATTCGGGTTGGAGTTATCTGAACCTTTGGTGACATTTGCTCTATCTTGTGGAAGTTGGTCTTCTCCAGCTGTAAGTTTCCTGTCAGCCATCACCATCTATTAGTCCTTTGATGTGTTAGTCCACTGTCTATACTGATCTTTTCTTTTCTGGAATGAAGGTGAGAGTGTACACAGCATTACAAGTCGAGAATGAGCTCGAGGCGGCGAAGAAAGAGTACTTGCAGGCAGCAATTGGGATTTCAGCCAACAAGTTTGCTATCCCAAAGCTGTTGGATTGGTATTTGTTGGACTTTGCAAAAGACTTGGACTCATTGCTGGACTGGATTTGCCTGCAGCTACCAAGTGAACTTGGGAAAGAAGCAATGAAGTCCCTTGACAGAGGTACTAAAACTCAGCCAAGTACACAAATCATCGAGGTCATGCCATATGAATTCAGTTTTAGGTACCTTTTGTACATACATTAGTTAATTTCTTCAGTGGAGTTCCCTAGAAGGCTTGAAGTCTCAGTTTTGTACACATCAATAGGGTCAAATAGATGCAGAATTTAAAGCTTGTATGATTTTTCATCTCTGTAAGTATCCGAGTCATAAAAGAGTAAGAAAAGAAGTAAAAGAAAAGTTCAATGCTTTCAATCTCTCTCTTCTGAAGGGTCTTTGCAGGATCATAACAAGGATAAAAGGGTTTTTTCAGAACATCCAAAAGGCTCAGACTTTGTATGGTTTAGGTGCACTTAGTTAGTGAGTAGAGAATTCACAAAGATTGGAACTTTGTGTGTTAAAACAGCCTTAATTTGCAAGCAGACATTCTCTTGGACACAGAAACCAGAAGGGTTAAGCTGTCGCTGAAGGAAATGCGGTTTGGTATTATTAACGATTTGGACAAGTGGGTTTGACAGTGTAAAACTACAGCTACTATGGTCCAAACTCTTTGACTTGCTATGCAATTATTAAAGAACATTAGGTGAGAGTAACAGAGGGAGAAAAAGCTGAGAGCTGCTGTGTATGGAATGTTAATGAACAGTTCCTGAATTCCCCATCACAATGATCAAAGGATTTGCATTTTTGCAAATAACTAAAGCTGTAAATGGATCCCAACACTCAAAGAAGCAAAGTGCAAGCAATCTACCAAACATGTATCAGATCAGTGATGAGATATCACCTTCCCCCTTAAATGGGGCTGTGGTCCAACACTGAGAAAGAAGGGAGCAGGCTAAGCAATTCCCAGCAGAGCTACTAATAAAGCCATCCTAGTCAGTAGTTTGGCAATCGCTGGAGCTGCCCATTTGCTGCAACAAGCCATTAAATGAAATCAAGTTTCTGTCACAATCCTTGATGAGATGGATGGATTAGTAGTAGCAACCTAATTTTGGGGTTTGATTGAGGTAATGGTCTGTGGGAGAATGGCCAAGTCCCATTAAGTACTCAGTGAGACCCAACAATGGGTCAATTATCAGCAGACTCACTAAACTTTAATTTCCGACGAATACGACACTCAAGTTTTTTAAAATCTATGAAGTCATATGTTCAATCTAAACTTTGATTTCTGATGAATATGACACTCAATTTTAAGATTCGGTATGTATTTAAATGAGACTGTCGTATAATATAGTTAGTATTTATGTTGTCAAAGTTATTATGAATCAAACTGACTATCACACATTCACACTCTAATCTTGACAAGTTAGACAACGCGTTCAAACTTCAACAAACATGGACGAAGTGACGAGTTGGTTAAGAGATGAGAACTTAACAACGGGTTTGCAAGTGACCCCAAAGATTAGTGTCCACCAAGGTGATTGACTGGGCCAAAAATGGGTAAATGTGATGGGAATCAGAAGTTTGTCCCATGCTGAAGAAAAAGTTGGGTTTGTGGGCTATGGAAACTGGGGGGAAATGTGGTCCAGAGGAGGTCCTTTTCAGTTTTTGGGGCCTGAGATAATTGGGGATATGGTGGTGGTGGGGTGAAGGGGCAAACTCTCTTCTCTTGGATCTACCATCCAGATCCAGAAACATGATGATGAAAGCTAAATGACACTGCTCTCTATCTTTTGCTTTCTTTTTGTGCAAAGTGGAGGGAGAAACAAACAAACAGAAAGGCTGAAATTATGGGTGAAAGGTTGGTAGTTGAAGTTTGCTATGGTACTTTGGTGAGGTACACTGCCTAGCTAGCTGTGTAAAATCTTGTAAACATGTTCATCTTTCTCCTATGGAGCAAAAAAACAGCGGTCACTGAGGTTAGATCTGAGGCTCTTGTTTGGGAGCTCCCTGTAGTGGGGAGGGTTGGTTACTACTTCTCTTCTTCTTCTTTTTTTCCATGTCTAGAAGATGAAGTAAGGAATTGTGGATGTCATAGAACAATAAACAAAACCACCCTGAGAAATTTTGTTTGGGAATGACGATGGATGTCTGGATAGTTATCTCAACACGTATATCTGCCTCATGTATGGTATGACTTATGAGTCAAGTCGTATAGTTTTGTTTATGTAAAGGTCATAAGATATGTCAACTCTTTCTTATGTGTGGTTCGACGAAATATATGTAGAATTTCAATTATTATATAAAGAATTAATGAAAAAATTGTTTTAAAATAAAATGAAGAGAATGCATAACTAAGTATCATACATAGTTGTGGCCAACATTAAATGTAAGATGTTACTTAAAAGAAGTCCAAATAGAAAAATAAAAAATAGTATCAAATAAATTTGATCATAGTAGATTGGAGGTGGGGTTGGAGGGAAGAACCACACACTACTAGTGACTCAAATGGTACACCCACATTGTTGATGGTAGTAGATCGATAAGAAGAGCATACCACACTACTAGTGGATCAAATGGTACACTCACATAAATACATAATTGATCCTAAAAGATCAAGAAGTGTATACAACGCTACTAGTGGGTCAAATGGTACACTTACATAATTCATCAAAATATATCAAGATGTGCATACTATGCTATTAGTGGATAAAATCAAATGGTACACTCACATAAGTTATCAAATTGATCAAGAACTGCATACCATACTATTAGTGTGTCAAGTGGCACTCACATAATTTATCAGAATAGATCAAGAACTGTATACCATGCTACTAGTGAGTCAAATGGTACACTCACATAGTTTATCAAAATAGATCAAGACGAGTATATCGTAGTGAAATTTTAATCACCAATATTATTTGATGAGTATGGTAGGATACAATAAATCACGTGTGTCAAATAGGTTATCATTTGCTTTTTCATTAAATAAATTATAAGTAGCCCTTTTTTTTAACAAGAGCTAGTTACAATCTGGTTTAGTTGTCCTATACTCCTATAAAAAAGAAAAGGATAAAAAGGTTAATATCTTATTTTGGCCCTAACTATGACCATATAATCAACTTTGGCTTGTGGTTTCAGAAATTAACATCATAACCTCAATTATGCAGCATATAGACTCAACTAGTCAACTGGCCCGACACATGGTTTGACCGTCAATTTGGATAGTCAACACCATTGACCGTTAGTCAACACGCCATATCATTTAGGGGTGGGCGTTTGGTCGGTTCGGTTTGAACCAAACCGAAAAGATGATTACCGGTACTCCGAATTCAGGAAAAGGGCAAACCAATTCTGAATAGAATTATATTTTGGTTCGGTCTGGCCAAAGCGAAATATAACTCGGTTCGGAATGAAAAATCCAAAATTCTCCCCGCTGTCACTCATAAACCCAAACTATTCTACAAACAAAACAAAATACCTAATCTACGCTCACATCTCCCACTTCCTCTTCCTTCTCTCCCTCTCTCACCACCCGCGGCAAGATTAGAGATCTAGATCCATCAGTCGCTGGCGGCTAACCCGAAGAGTTCTTCTTCTCCATTCGCTGTCGGGTTCCTTCCGCCACCAAAGTCGAGCTCCGCTCCTTCCATTGCCGGCTCTCCCATCTAAGACAACACTTCTTCTTACCTTCTCTTTCTCTCGCCCCAAACCTATTCTTCTCATTTTCCCTTGGTGAAATGACGCCAATAGGCGGCGACAGCAGGAGGAACGACGAGATCTCTCGGCGTGTGGAGACTGGAGACGGGGGCGGGCATAGCCGGCAGCAGGTGACAGAATTGAAGAGAAGAAGGAAGAAAATCAGTGAAGAAGAAATGCAGAAGCACTAATCCAGATTGGGGAAGGATTCGTGATACAAGGAAGGAGGAAGAAGATTGGAACGACTTCGTTTTATGTTTAGCTGTTGAGTTGTGAGAGAACGACAGCGTTTTACTTATTCTGCACTTAGCCGTTAAGTTTTACTGTTTGTTTAATTTGGACCAATGATGTAAGGACACCTGTCTTATTTGTGTTAATCAAACACCAGCTATATAAGCTGAAGGGAGACTCAGAATGAGCTTAGCTTCTTCTCCATTTTGTCGTACAAAGTTGTTATGGTATCAGAGCTCAATGAGCTCTAGGGTTTTTCCGCCGCCAACGACAGAATGTCAGGAGCACAGACTCCACCCAACACGCCACCGAACAATGGAACCGGCGGAAGCACGTCAACGACGACCACAGGTGCAGCAGGTTTCCGTTTTGGCACTTTCAACCAGAACCAGCTGCAATCAGAGACAGTTGTCTTTGGTAATCCCTATTATCTCAACCCCAACGAGAACATGTCTCAATCTCTTGTTGCTGAGTCCTTTGATGGGACAAATTATATCATGTGGAGTAGATCTATTCAGGTGGTCTTAAAAACGAAGAACAAACTGGGTTTTATTGATGGGTCAGTTCCAATTCCTCCTCGTGAAGCAGATCTGTTTAGTCTATGGGATGCGTGTAATACAGTATTCCTTTGTTGGTTACAGAACTCTATGACTAAGGAGATTAGGAGGTCAGTACTGAATCATACTAATACTAAGGCATTGTGGGATGAGTTGAAAATGCGCTTTGGCCAACCCAATGCTCTTAGAATATTGAACTTGGAAGATGAAATTCAAGCATGTAAGCAGGGTACCAGATCTATAACTCAGTATTACACAGCTATCAAGGGTCTTTGGGACGAGTATGTGGAATTTAGCCCAATAGTTCCATGTGCTTGTGCTCCTGGAAATCTCATGCCCTGTGATGCTGTAGCTGCTTTCATACAGAAGCAGGAGACTGATTATCTGGTGAGGTTCTTGAGAGGTCTCAACCCTGATTTTGATGTGATTAAAACACAATTGCTTATGCAAAAGCCCCTCCCCACAGTATCAACAGCAGTGGACGATCTGCTACAACATGAGCAGAAACTGAAAGTAGACAATGCTGTGGGAGGTAAGAAAGGACAAAGCCTGGCTTTAGCAGTAGGAGGTAACAAATCAAGAGAGAATACTGAGACAAGGGGAAAGAAGTTTTGTCGATTTTGTAAGATGAACAATCACAACATTGAGGATTGTTGGAAGCTGAAAAGGAAGCAGGAAATGCAAAGAGAGGGTGGAGGTAATGGGGGGTCTTCTTCCAGCTCTGGCTCAAGTTCCAGTACACCTAGGTTTGTTGGGTCCATCTCCCAAAACAGTGTGATCAATGAGAGCAAGTCAGCAACACCACTTGGCTTCACAGCAGAGGAAATGACTCGCCTCAGATACTTGCTACAGACTGGTGCTAACAATCAAGCCTCACCACCTACTTCCCCATCCCTTAATCACCAAGCCTACTCAGCCACCCAATATCCCACTTCCTTCCCTCATTTTTCAGGTAAACATGTTCTGTCCTCTTCCCAAACTTCCAAAACACAAGACCTGACCTTATGGATTGTGGACACAGGGGCATCAGATCATATTGCCTGTAGTCTCTCACTGTTCTCTAGTTACACTCCAGTCCAAAATGCCTTTGTTTATCTCCCTAATAGTACTAAAGTCACTGTCACATGCATAGGAACAGTGAAATTAGATTGTGGATTAACCTTACATGATGTTCTCCTAGTGCCACAATTTTCTTTTAATCTCATTTCTGTTAGTAAACTTACCCTTGATAACCCTTTTTCCTTACACCTCCATTCTGACAAATGTGAAATCCAGGACCTATTAAACCAGAAG